CCCGGCCCGCCCCGCCCCACAGGGACCTCACCAGCAAGAGGACGGTGAGGATGCCATCGAACACGTTGCTGGGGTAGGACAGGTAGCCACGAGGACCCAGGGCCAGGACCTTGAGCAGCAGCTCCAGGACGTAGTACAAGAGGAAGACATAGTTGAGAACCTGAGGAGCCGAAGGGGCAAGACGGTGGCCGGTCATCCTGCTCTGGGGCCGAGGCCACGCTGTCCCCTCCCCATCCCCTCCCCTCCCCCACCCTCAACTTGAGGCCCCACATCCCTGCTTCCTGCTGGCCTCTCCTCGGCCTTCCCAGCTCCACCCCATCCACCTCTCCCAGAAAGGGGCTGCGTGGGAAGCCCGCGGGCCCAGGCGGAAGGTGGCATCCCCGGGTACACAGAGTCCTGCTGTCACGCCACACGGAGACAGAGACTGCACCCGGCCTTACCCCACAAGAGAGGCTCCACAGAATCACCCCCAAAACAAGCCTAGAGACAGCACCTGAGATCCAGCCACCAAAAGTCTATCCCCAACCATCACGCCGCTGCTGGGCAGCTGGACAGGCTGCATTCACCGAGCGTTTGCCGGGAAGGGGGGACGGCCTTACCTGTCACTGCCAGCAGGCTTCAGAGCCCCTTGAGCCTCCACTGGGGGAGAGTACAACACTAACCAGAAAATGCTGTTTTGTGGGGTGCTAGTGGCTCACACCTGTAATCCTAGGTACTCAGGTGGCTGAGCTCTGAGAATCAACAGTTCAAATCCAGCCCAGGCTGGAAGGTCTATGAGACTCTGATCTCTAATCAACCACCAGAAAACTGGAAGTGGAGCTATGGCTCAAGCAGAAGAGCAGTAGCCTTGAGCACGAAAGCTTAGGAACAGAGTCCCAGCCCTAAGGTCAAGCCCCAGGACTTGACAAAAATAAAGAAAATGCCAACTTAAGTACAAATCAGAGGGGATTTGAACATCAGGCCAGAGGACTGAGACTCCTCTTTTGGTGCCAGAACACCGTTAGCCTGCATCTAATCCACAGGAACAGTGCACATGCTCAGGGCTACCTTGCCACCGCTCTCCACACCCTCCTCTGCTCCCTGGCTGAGCTGCTGGCCTCACGGCCGGGCCCCGAGCTCACCCCCAGCACGAAGTCATTGCGCGCGGTGGGCAGCAGATCCTCGTCCAGCACCAGGAACACCTGCCGGCCAGAGCAGGGTTCGACTCACCAGGCCGGCAGATCAGGCCATCCCAAGCCAAGCAGGGGAGGAGGTGGGGCGTGGGCAGGGAGGAAGTGGGAGGGGCTCCCCGGCAGGTGCACCTGCACTTACACCAATGGACACAAGGTTTCCCAGAGCTACGAGGTTCCCCAGGTAGTCGAAGTAGCGGTGGCTGAAGAGGAACTGGGCCGTGCGCAGGAGTGGGGTCCGGTACTGGGGCCTGGGCGGGTGCTGGGGCGGGAGCCTACACTCAGCCCAGGCTCAGACCGCCCGGCCTCTGCCTCTGAATTCCATCCCCAGCCTCACTGCAGGTCCTGGCTTCTCCAACCCAAGGAAATGACCCCAAACGCAACCAGCTTCCCACAGAGGCCTTTCAGAGCCATTCATCTATCCCCGTTGGCAGAAATGACCGAGCAAACCACACCCAGTGAAGTTCAAAGGGTTGGCCACCTCAGTGCGGTCAGAGTACTGACCACACACTGGACACCATGAGGACCGGTCACCACCACCACCACCACCACCACCACTCTCCACGCTCGCACAAGGCCAGGCTGGCGGATGGGCAGGAACCCCCAGAGCATCAAAGCCACAGCCCACACCAAATGTCAGCCACCTTGAAGCCACCAATGCACACTCTGCAGGCCACCAACACACGCTTTCCACAGGCCAATGAAATACATTTTCCAAGAGCCAAAGGACATCTATTCCCAACGCCCATCCAGGGGCCTGGCCCTCGCACACAGAGTCCCAGGTGACAAGAGCTGTGCTGGCCCAGCGTGGCACAGGCGGGCACAGGCCAGCCCCATGTACCTCTTTGATTACACTCTTGTCCACCTCATCAAAGAGTTTCTGGAACTCGTGAGCCAGCAGCAGGTCACCGTCATGGGCGCACACCTTCTGCAGAGAGAAGGGGGGTCAGCCAGGGCAGGGCAGTGGCCACAGCCCCGTCACCCCACAGGCTGTGACCAGTGATGAATGACTCCCCACCTAGAGGGGCTGAGAAAGAGGCGGGGCGGGCCTGGGGGGCTGCTACCTCCACAAGGGCCTGCTTGTGGGAACCGCCCAGCCGGGCTCTCTGGAGCACCTGCAGCACATCCTGGGGCCTCACACCAACTCTGTGGGGAAAAAAAACCCACCCCGTGAGCAAGGCCAGCCGGGCCCCTGGGCGAAGCCAGGCCCCTGGGGAAGCTGGGCCCCTGGGCGAAGCCGGGCCCCTGGGCGAAGCCCGGCCCCTGGGCGAAGCCCGGCCCCTGGGCGAAGCCGGGCCCCTGGTGAAGCCGAGCCCCTGGGCAAAGCCGGGCCCCTGGGGAAGCCAGGCCCCTGGGCGAAGCCGGGCCCCTGGTGAAGCCGGGCCCCTGGGGAAGCCAGGCCCCTGGGCGAAGCCGGGCCCCTGGTGAAGCCGGGCCCCTGGTGAAGCCGGGCCCCTGGGCGAAGCCGGGCCCCTGGTGAGGCCAGGCCGGTTCTCCATCCTTGGCCAGGCATCCACCCCAGGCAGAGCGCCTCCACCGCGGGCAGCTACCACGGGTGGGGGTGGGGAGAGAGGACTGCAGGCTCTTTCATCACCCCAGATCCCCAGGGAGGCCCCGCTGGGCCCCATCTGGAGGGACAGGCAGAGTCTGCAAGGACAACACAGCCCAGAACACAGGGACCATGGTGGCATTCACAATTCCTAGCCCAGCCACCCAACAGCAAGGGATGCTGGGAAATCTCTAAGGTGCACCCAGCCCCTCCCCTTGGAGCAGCCACAGCTCCTCCCCCCCCCATCCCTGGGGAGAGAGAGAGAGAGAGACCCCACTCAGCCCAGCACTCACGCCTCGGGGACAGCTCCAGCCTGCCCTGCCAGGGAGGAGAGGACCTGGAAGGCAGCGAGGGTCCCCAGCCGCCGGCGGAACAGCGAGGTCTGCAGGGACTTCTGCGGGGAGCGGGCTCTCAGCCTGGGCGAGGCCCCTCCCAGCCGGACGGCCCCCTCTCGCCTCCCTCTCGGGGAATGGGCAACAGCAGCGGACAGCCAGGGCCTCGGGATAGTTCGAGGAAGGTACCTGGCCAAGGCCAGGTGGGGACCGGGCCTTGAGCGACCACGGCTCACCATGCTGCCACTGCAGTACCCATTCTTCTCTGTGTATCTGGGGTCCTGGCTCCCCACAACTAGGTATAGGCCCACTTCCCGGGGCAGCCTCCCTAGGAGAACATGGGAGGGCCTGGGAAGGACCTCTGGTCTCTAGGAAAACACTGCCCTCCCATGCTGGGCAGCCTTGTCATGTCTGCTTGGCCTCCAGGGCCTACTGCGGACACAGCCCAGTAGGGGGCAGTGCGTCTCACCATCAGGTAGCCTCGGAACTGATTGTAGATGATGGCAGTCAGCAGGTTCATGAGAAACAGGCTTCCTGTAAGGGGAAGGCCTCGGTCACAGGCAGAGGGGGACCCAAGGGCCAGCCGACAGGCAGCAAGCGTGCCAGCAAGGAGGGCCGAGGGGCCAGCCTGTCAGTGCTCCCCACTCCGGCCATGCGGAGGGGGCAGGCCACCCCCTGGCCACCCGTGGGGCCCTGCAGGCCTACCTAGTATGGCACAAGAGGGATGTGTGGCCACCGATGACAGACGGCAAGCCAGCAGGGCTGCGGCAGGTAAGTGGGGGGTGGGTGGAGGTGAAGTTACGGGGGACGGGCTACGGCCAAGGTAAACAGTGCGGGCGGCTGCACGGGCACCTGAGCCTTGGGGTTCCGTTCCCTCCGGAGGAGCCCGGGGCACTGAACACAGACCGTCCGCACTCACCGATGAGGGTGAAGACGATGAAGAAGACGGCATAGGCCCGGTTCTTGGAATAGGCAGGCGTCATCACTGAGACGAGAGGAGCCAGAGCAATTGGAAAGCGTTCTCGGCCGCTCCTCACAGGGAGAGCTGAGGGCCTGCGGAGCCCCGGGCAGGTGCTCCCAAACCGTGAGGACGCTCGGCCCTGGGCGAGGCTGAAGCTAGCTGCCCTGTGACCCACCCCACCCGTCCGATGACCTGCCCAGGCTGTCAGGACACGTGGGGAGCCAGGCTCGGCAGCGCAGCTGAGCCCAGGAGGAAAGGCCCCAGGCACAGTGGACTCGGGCCCTGGCCACAGCACATGACCACTGGGGGGCCCATCAGCACCCCACATGGCCAGCCAATACCCCAGGAACTCAGACACCATGTTCCAGGTGGCACCCACCTCTTGGCTGGGCCTGGGCCGTGGCTGGTAAAAGGGATGGCCCCAGAGAGGCCACCAGAGGGGCACTGACCACTGCCACGCCACGTCAGCACACTAAGACCACCATTCTTTCGGCTTCTCCGAGTAAAGAGACAGGCAAAGAGAACCAAGAAAGAAAGGAGAGAGTGAGAAAGCGAAGGAGATAAAGGGAAAGAAATAGGGAGGAAGATGGATGGGGAAAGAGAAAACAAAAAGAGAAGGGAAAGAAGGGAGAAGAGGAGAGGGACCAATGTCTCCTCCCGTGGACAAAAGCCTCCAAGACCCCAGCCGTCCCACCCAGCCTCGCCAGGCGCCGCCCCAGGCTCCACCCACACACACCGTCAGGGTTGTTGGCAGTGGTCAACAGCACCAGGAGGGAGGTCAGGGCTTCTGGAAGGCTCCGGAAGTAGGCCAGTCTCTCCTTGTCCTGCTTTTCATCCTGAGAAGAGAATCCAACGTCTGGGTCTCCCCGCACACCTGCCCAGCCACAGGGTCCACCCACGGAGGGACCCGCAGCCGCCCTCCATCTGCAGGCTCTGAGCGCCCGAAGTCGGGCCTCCAGCCCCAGGCAGACCCACCCATGGGCACACAGGCCCAGGTGGAACGGGCCACTGTGCTTGTAGCCGCACACCCTGGGGCAGAGGCCCCAGCTGGCCTCCCGCAGGCTGCCACGGGCAGGTGGGGAGCGGGGAAGAGCAGAGGCCACGTGGGACAGGGACCTAGGGAGAGCCTCAGGCCCCAGAGGCCTAGACCTCAAAGCTGTGGCTACCGCAGCTGGCAGCCGGGGTGCCCCGCTCCCCACGCCACAGCACGCGTGCAGCATGTCTACCGGAACCGCTGCACACACAGGGCTCTCCGTGGTGGAGCCACCCTGTCCCCACAAGGCAGGGAACCCCATACGCCTGGCTGTGTGACCAGGGCAGCAGGTGGTACTTGAGTCAGGTCCCTGGATGCCCACAAACCACCTGATCCCCTGGGGTCCTTCAGGCTGAGTGCTGGCCAGGCCCAAGCCCGCCAGCGGCCTCGCTAGGCGCCGCCTGCGGACCCCTCCTGCAGGCCCCTCCTGAGCAGGGCAGGGCTGGCCCCAGCTACAGAGTGGCACTGCCCCCATGTGCCCAGAGGAGGGACACCAAGGACAGGCGAGTGGACGGGGAGGAGATGCCAGGAGCCACTGGCGTGGGGGCAGAGGTCACCACAGGACGTTGTAGAGTGGGGACCCAGAGCCACAGCAGGTGCCACTGGGAACGCTGAGGCAGGCAGACACCCCTGCCCCCGCCCCGCCCCAGCGGTGGGCAGGGAGAGCCGGGACGGCCACCAACCCCCTCATCTAGGGGCTTCAGCCCCGAAACGAAACGAGTCTGCTCACTGCTCTGGGCTCAGGCTTCTGCCGCCAGAGGGAAGTTCCAGCACCTGAGCTAGCTCACAGACAAGGCCTCTGAAGCCGGGGGTGAGAGGCCTGCCCAGGCCAAGGGGAGCCCTGTCCAGACTCGTCACCCAACAAGCCGCCTACTGGTCTCCAAATCTCCTTCCCGCGGGGCTGCCCCTGACCCCAGCCCTGTGGGTGCGCGGAGGGCAGAGGGTGCGCAGTCCACCACCCACACCCGCACCCTCTGAAGACACGGGGAAGAGCGACCTTCTTACACATCCCCCAAACACCAGCCCCCATCCTCGGAAATACATCCAAGGTGGCCCTCTGAGTAACAAGGTCAGCTCTAGAAAGTTCTTGGGCAACAAGGCAAGGGAGGTCAGGCCCTGTGAGCTGGGGGGAGGGGGAGGCAGCCCAGGTCACCTTCCCACAGCAGGCTCCGCCCAGATCCCCACCTGTCCCCCCGCCAGGCTGGCCCAGAGCCTGTGGCCAGGGACAAGGGACTCAGGGCCAGTTGGTCCTCCCAACTTCAGCCCAGGGTAGGAGCTGGAACTCCCACAACAGCACAACGCATGGCCCAGCCCTCTGTGGGGCAGAAGCCAGCCCGGACAAGAAACCAATGAAGGCTTCCTGCCCCTGGGGGCTACCACAGGAGGCCACAGAGAGGCTGAGGCCCACCGCAGGGTCGCCTCACAGCCCAGCACTGCCCAACGCATACAGACACACACACACACACAGGGACATGCACACACATGAACAGACATACACATGCACAACGCATCCACCAACACAGACATAAATATACAGATTCACATGCATACGCAGCTATACACACGCACAGAACATCCAACACATGTAGACATTCCTATCACACACACACACGGATACACTCAAATGCACATGCACACACGCACGCGCGCGCACACACACACACACACACTCAGGTAGAAGGCACTAGCCTATCTCCTGTTCTGCTCCCAGGAGGCACAGTCCAACTCCTATATCCCATCCAACTCCCCCAGTCAGCAGACACACCCCAGGACAGAGAAGCAGAGACAGAACATGGCCCAGGCTGGACGACACGATGACCACAGACAGAGCCCAGGAAGGTGGCGGGTGGAGACAGCCACAAGCAACACCACTGGGGCTGAAGCCTGGGCTGGGCAGGGCAGGGCAGGGCAGGGCAGGGCTGGGCCAGGGCAGGGCAGGGCAGGGCAGGGCTGGGCAGGGCAGGGCTGGGCAGGGCAGGGCTGGGCTGGGCAGAGCAGGGCTAGACAGGGCTGGGCAGGGCAGGGCTGGGCCAGGGCAGGCCAGGGCAGGGCAGGGCAGGGCA